GATCATTTGATATGCAAACAAAGCAATCACCCCAGAATATTCTGCCAAAAAATAATTCTTTATGATTAAATACTTTATTGTTTAAAGACCATACTGTGAGTCATAAACTGCTGCAACTCACTTCAAGTTCCTGAGAAGTAAGTTTCTCGTAATTCAACATAATTTTCTCTGTATAACTCATTAAATTTATTACTTTTAGTTAGTATCTTTTTGTTTATTGGCCTTGAGAGTTACCACTGTTAGTTTTGTCACAAGTCACAGTACGTAATGTTTTTCATGAATATGGGTCTCTCAGCACTAAATAAAATGAATGTGTAATGGATATAGGATCTGAATTACAGACATCATTCTTACAAGTTGATGTTTCTGTACCTATAAAGCTAATATCATTTGTTGGCTATCAAGTAAAAACTTACAACCGAAAATATGTTTATATAGAAAACAACATCAATATCCTTTAAAAAGTACAAAAAATACCATTTGCAAGAAAATAGAGCTGAAATCCTCTTATTAACCAGAGAAAACAAGACTGAGAAAAACAAATGTCATGAGATTGTATGTGGCCATAGGTTTTATTTTTAAGGAACATAGAATTAGAAGAAAGAATACTTTAGAAGAGAAAGAGAACCAGAAGTGAGGGAAAAGATAAAAGATAAACGATAAAAAGAAAGTAAAACAATGGGAAAAAATGGTGAACGAATGAAACAGTGATACTCATTAGACACTACATTGGAAATCACTTCTACAACTTTGGAGGTGGGCATCATGAGAGGAAAAAGTGGGAGAAAATGAGAAAGGGAGTAACATTGTTCAGCAAGAAATGTACTCATTACCCGCCTTATATAAGTGTAACCCTTCAGTAGAACAGTTTTATAATAAAATTAAAATTAAAAAAGAAAATAATAAAAATAAACATGTTCAATGTATGTCTTCTATGACAATGTCTTGAAGAAACACACTGAAATTAAATCCCAACTCAATCTCATATTTCATGTAAAAAATCAAATATGGCATTTAATAAGGAATTTCACAGAAAGTTCACCTATTTAAGAACAAACAAAATCCATTTCATGGGATAATTAATTTGAGCAAACTAATAATATTTGGGTGTGATATGTTTATTCTATGAGGACAAAATATAAGCTTAATGATATCAACCAAATTTGTTTATCTAATTACATTTGTTATGTAAACAGTAAAATATATTAGAAACGGTGTGTAAAAAATTTCTGACAATTTAAATGAGTTAAAATTTTGAAGTTTTGCTCTCTTCTAAAACTCTCAAGGTTAATATCATAAAAACTGTGAAGTAGTAAGGCATAAAAGAATGATTAGAATTGTAATAAGATTATTTGGGCATCCAACTACAGAAACACTATTAATGAATGCTTTTTAATTAATTGAAATGTGTTCAATCATTGTAACATTCCATTTCACCAGCAGATTTTATAGACGGGTCAGGACCAAATCGTATGCCAGCACAATCTGCAATACGGTGTACTTATATGATTTTGTTCCTGGTAGAGCAACTGTGAGCCATTAATTTCTTACTCATTCACCGAGATGATATTCCTGTTCTGCTGTCTAGTTTGATCAATGACAGCAGTTAGATGCATCAGAATATGAATAATGTTTTTATGTAAACTGCATTCAAACCAAATAAGTGTCCACTATTAGACCTTGTTATAGAAATTTCAAACATCAAATAACATAATATATATTTAGGATCTTTATTTTAAAAGCAGATATAGTGTCTTTCACATATCGGGCTTCCTTAAAAGCTTTGAAATCTGGTGAATGGAACCTAAATAGACAGGAAATCAATTAGATATCAATTTTAAGAATATCAGATTGACATGTTTTATTTTTTTCATTTTCTTTTAGTTTAATTTCATTTTGTTGTGAAGGTTATGTAAAGAGGAGTTACAGTTACATAAGTAAGGTAATGAGTACTAAACTGTGCTTATATAAGAATCACAGTTCTAAGTCTCAATTCCAAACATGATTGCCAACATTCCTAATATTCAAACTTGATCTTCCTAGATAGGTCTTTTATTATGCTTAAAAAAAGTAAGATCAGAAGTTGGAGCAATATGTATACTACCATAATGATAGAAAACCAATTAAAACAGTGATTCATTAAAAATAAATAAATCTTTCAAGTATAAAGGACATTTATTCCACTGTAAAATATTACCCTTTATTCTATTTTTTTAATAGCTTAAAGCCCTATGTCCCTCAAAGAAAGACTGGATTTTATTTTTACAATTTTTTTTGTATCATGATGATATTTTACGTTGTTGTTTTGTTTTTGTTTTTTTTGTCAATCGTTGGGCTTGAACTCTGGGCCTGGGTGCTATCCCTCAGCTCTTCAGCTCTAGGCGAGTGCTCTATCACTTGAGCCACAGTGCCACTTCTGGCTTTTTTTCTTTTTGCTTATGTGGTGCTGAGGAATTGAACCCAGGGCCTCATGCATGCAAGGCAAGTGCTCTACCACTGAACCACCTTCCCAGCCCCCATATATTAATCTTTTACACTAGATAATTGGTCTATTATAATTGGAAGCTGAGGAGACGGCTTCTGGTTGTCATTTATTATGTCCAATCTACTAGAGGAAAAATAATGTGATTCATATAAGACTTATATAACATAAGACAAATAATTTACAGTGTACTCACCAAACATTTCAGGAAAATAAAGTTTTTCTGGATAGTTAAACTCTCTTGTAAATCCTCTGTGAATCAGCTCATTGAAAGTTAGCATAAAATTAATGAAGATTAACCATTTTAATTGTAAAAGAATGCAGCATTATTAGGAAGGAAGATGCCATCCGTGAAGTGGCATGGGGAATACATCCTGAAGAGAATGCCGTAGAGAGTACAGCAAACATTTCATTTTCCCTCTCATCCCTCTGTTCAGGAAGTTAACTGTGTAATCTTTTCTATGAGCCTATAAGAGCAAGAAGCAGTCATTTGAAATGAAATGGCAAGGGAGAGAAAATATCTGGTAGAGAAAAACCTAAGTAATACCTCTGTTTATCTTTGCAAGACCTGGGAAGGTCTTCAAGGTCAGATGGGCACTGGGAAAAAAATATGAACTTGAGAAATAATACTATTCACTTGCTCAGATGTTTGCTACACATGGAATATTGGGGTAAAAAGCCACAGGCTCTTTGTAATTGTATGGCCTTCTCAGATGCTACTGTAGGCAGGAGTCCAGGGACAAGAGAAGAGTTTGTTGTAGGACAAGTGCTTTTGGCACAAATCCATTTTAGCTCTAACAGCAGTGACACCAACACAACATTATATGACAGAAGAGTGATTTAGTCCCATCTTCCCTTCAGACAGAAAGGAGAATTGATATTCCTACTCCAAAGGAATATATGCTGACTGTAAGCTAGTTCTGGCATTAAGTTAAACAACTATCCTGACATGGAAGTGCTTAAAATAATAACATTTCCCTAGTTCTCATGGTTTGGGGATAGAAATATCCATTGTGTGTCTGATTTAATATTCACTTCACAGGGTGATAAGCCAGCTACATTATGATATTCAGGTTGCAAATGAACTCCACTAGACATTCCACAGTCATGGAAAGACTGCTGGTATATTTGGAAGGATGAGTTGAACTAAAATGATCAATTGATCATCAACCATATATAACCTCTCATATGGCAGCCTGAGGTAGCTGTCTTACATTCCAGAACAGAATTTTAATGGTAAATATTGAATGAATCGGAGAGAAACTGCATATAAGATTTGCTTTTGAGACTCAGAGGAACATACACTAATGTAAAATATGTGGCAGGAGACTGATTGGGAGGGCAAAGGGAAACAAGAAGTTGGAAATTAAATGTGATGGAAGTTCATCATAGGCATATATGGAACTAGAATGATGAAATTGCTCAAAATTATATCAAAAGGGGTTTAAAGCAGATTAAAAGGAATAATAGAAGAGGTTTTAGTCAAAGTATATTTTCGGAATGTATTGAAATGAAACAAACCCCATTGTTCAATTAGTAAATGCTAAATAGAACAGTGATAATGAAGTTGACTAAGAACCTCATTGAGGTCTGACTATTTTAGACACAGGTATTCAAAGATAAAGCTGTTTATATTTACTCCACTGAGGAACTGAAATTGAGAAAATCCATTCATCAGATTTTTCATAGCTTTCTTTCCTTTAAAGATAAAATTAGCTGCCAAAGTATTATAAATTTGCAACAGGAATAAAATAAGAAGGCAAAATAAGATACTCCACGGGAATTTCCTAAAACTTAAAAAGCAACATCAGCAGAAGGACTGGCAAGATCCAGTTCTTTAAAAATGACTGTGTCAAGGGCCAAACATTATTACTTTTACTATAATATACAACTTGAGAATGATATAGTAATCATTTCTTTATTGTTCTATGCAGCAAATAAGACCTGTCATCTTTCTCATATTAACAGAGTCTAAGAAGTAGTTTATACAAAGACTAATTTATAGCAATCATATAGATTGTGAAAAAATCTAAAGTATTACACTTAAAACTATATTTTTCCAGGTATATTTATTAAAATGTACTGTAATGGAAGGGAAGAAGAGGAAGAAGGGTGACATTTAAAAGGCTGTCTTCAATTTCAGAAAACATTCCAGAATGATCTTTTTTTCTTTTTTCTTTCTATAACCAAACATGCAATGATAGAGACTCAAGGACACTTTGTGGAAGAAAACTTAGCTCTCCTGTGAGTTTTCGAATGTAAGAAGTAGAAAGTGGTGAGGTCACAGACTGACTAGCCCTTCTAGGTATTCATGAAAACTTGCAAACAGGGCTCACTGGCAGTTGTCACAATTTCTCTGGACTTACGCTGTGAGGAAAAGAAACAGGTTTCATAGTTTCCCCAGGAGAGCACTCAGCTGTCAAACCAAAAGTGAAAAACGCCTCAGCAGGGACTCGTTTAAGAGTGTTAAATCCAAAGAATGGCAGTATCACATTGATTCTGTGCATGCCATACTTACTAACTTTACTTGCAATTACGGAGAAATTATACTGTGCAGTGCTTTCTCTGTCCAGTAATTCATTAGTGGCAATGGTTCCTTCAGTCCCATCTACTGCAAAGTAGCTGTCCCCATCCGTCTTCCAATCTATGAAGTACCTGCATGCGAAAAGAGCAGATGCAAATGTGTAATGATTACACATTAATCATAATGGCAGTTGGGCTAACTTGACACAGTTCCTTAATTTTTTTTTCTTCCTGTAGCTATTACCCACTTTGCAATAAAGAAGAGTGTAAATGACAGCTTCTTTATTGCAAAGTCAGTATGCTCAAGGGGAAACTGGAAATAATGAAAGATTTAGTGCTCCTGCTGTTCATATTATTTTAGGGTCTTGACACCTTGAAAGCTCAGCAGAGATCACAATTCTAAAGCTGACCATGGGTTTCCTTAACCTGCTGAATATTAAAACTTTTCTGAGCCATAAAAATTCTGTAACAGTGGATGTGGGAAGGGTTAAGGGTAATGGTGGCACCTGCAAAGAGCTATAAAAACCCTAGACCAGCATCTTGGTATTCTGTGGATAGGAAACACACACACACACACACACTAATGAAAAGAAAAGGAACAGCTAGTTCAAAGATGTAGTGATTTAAAAAACTTGTCTTTGTTCAAATACACATGAAGGGTTTACTGTTGCTAATTAATGTATTACGAAATCTATCAGCACAACTTGCTAAAAAAGCAGTGTTCTTGGATAATGATGTCTTCTTTTTTTTACTATCTGATATTTGGTATAAAGAATGTTGGTTTATATAAAGTTTTTGGACTAGATAATCCAAGGAAAAGAAGAATTAAATGGAAATTACACCTGTTTCCTTCTTTTTTAATGTAAGACAGATGAGCCAGTAGATTTGCTTTCTAATCATAATTATTGTTTTTAAACTTTACCATATGCTAGATATTCTTTATGATTACTCTGCACATTACCTTATTAATTCCTAAAGAGTCTTATGAACTCAATTAATCTCCACATGTTACATAGAAGAAACTTAAAGAATGAAAATATGAAAAAGGCTACATACACATAGCATTATATTTATGCTGGTATTTGGAACAAGTCAATAATAATTACCATACAATCATTATCATATATTCTTAACAATTTTAAGCATAACAGTGTATCAGAAAATATCTGTTAATCACAAGGAAAGATGTTCCTACATTCATCAGCAATATTATTATGATCTGTGAACCAAGGAGAGGTCATTCAGTATAGTGGCTGAAAGCAGATGATACTGCAGACTTCTGTTTGAAACTTCTAGGCCAAAGAAAAGTGATAGGAGTGAATTTTCCTTTGTTCACTCTGAAAAGGTAGCTAAGGTATTTGTCTTTGAAAATAACTAAATTTAATTTTGCCAAGTTTGTTGTTTGAAACTGTAATGCTTTGCATGTTACTGCAAAGAGAAATCAAAGCTAGCTTTCTTTTACAAATGAGATTTATCACCTTCACTTGTCAATAGTTGCTACTACCTCATTTCTCAATGAAAAGTTGCTGAGTATTATTGGAACAGTATATTCCATGCTGTTAAGTTTTTGATACCTCAGCTTTTTGATGAGAGATGGGAGAGTACAGGTCAGTCTTGTGATTTGAATGTAATAGCTTGCCTCATAGGAATTCTCTCAAAAATATAAATGAAGTAAACTTAAAAGCGAGGGAGCAGAACACTATGACTTTAATTCTCCCTTGAATGTTCTTCTGAAAAAGAGAGCAGTTTTTCTAATATTCCTTTCCTTAGCACTTCTGTTCAAATAACTATATGCCAAATTAGAGAAGAAATTACAGACACACACACACACACACACACACACACACACACACACACTTAGATTTTAATACCTGGCTGAGGATCAAGAAGTTCAACATTAGTACCAAGAAAAGGCAACCACTATTCAAACGATGCATCAAATTCAATGCATAGATGTTCTATTCCTGATTCTTGTCCATATAGTGTATATACGTATGTATATATACATTCATAATATAAATATATATACATATATAGTATATATACATATATATAACAACATATTGAGTGCATCAAATGTGACTTATTGAGGATAAGCAACATTATTTTCTGAGTTTCTTTGTTTTAATACTTTTGTTTGCATTTAACCTTGTCTGGTCTCTCCTTGAACTTTTGATTCTCCTACCAAACTTTAAAATATGTTTCTAAAGAAGAAATATGACCTACATATTTTAAAATTATAATGCTTGCAGGTTTGCATTATCTTTGCTTTTTACTTTTCATTTTTATAATCCTTAAGTAGTTACTTGTACAAAGGAGGTGCCATATAACAAAGTACTTAATGAGTATAGTATATCTTGATCAGTGCTACCACCATTCAATGTTCTCACCCCCTTTCAACCTACTCCTTCCCTTACTTTTCATAATTCTGTGGCATATTCAGTGAGTACCTGACTAAATTCTTCATCTCCAGCCCCCTTCATTCATCTACCCCTCTCCCCTTGTCTCCACTACACTTTTTGGATGTACTGATTTCCTGGTGTAACTCTTGTTGAACATTGACCCAATCTTTTTAAGAGAACATTTTATTTGAGCTCTCCATAGAGTTTATTATACTTCAATTATTTCATCTGTAACCACTTGCATACCTCCCAATGTGTTTACTTATAGATTTATAGGTATATTCTATCTACCACAAATGAAAATAATCATTCAATGTTTGTTTTTCTGGGTCTGGCTTACTTACTTAATATAGTTGTTTCCCCTTAATGTAATTCAAGTATTTTCACTTCCTCACAAATGGTACATTCTTTCTAACAGATGAGTAAAATCCTATTGTATATATAGGACCTTGCTTTGATCTATCCATCCATTGAGGGGCATGTGAGATGATTCCATATCTTTGCTATAGTAAACAGTGCTGCAATGAACATGGTTGTTCTAGTGGCTTTACTGCAACTGTGCTTTTGATTTATTGGGTATATGTTCAGGAGGAACATTGCTGGCTCATAGGGTAGTGCTATGTTTACTTTTTTGAGGAATTTCCATACTACTTTCTAGAGTGGTTGAAAAAGCTTATGTACATTAGCTTTCAAATAAATTTGCTCTACCTTCCTTAACCACTTGAATTCTTAGTGAAATATATTCTAGACAATCTGTTTGCCTAACATTCTTTCTTCTTTTCCTTTCCTTAATTTTTTATATACAAATTCACCCTATCTTAACTTCTATAAATGGAATTAATGGAAGCTTAATACCATGAACTTTTAAGAAGACTTCAAGCAAAAATTGAGAAGAGCAATTCTGTAGAGGGCCCTAAAATCTAAATATAGAATAGCTGTGAGAAAGTCAAACAGGGCAAAATCTCTTAGACAAAGTCCCACATCCCATTCCTCTTGGGGTCCCTATGTTCCCATTCTTAGTGAATGCTTTGCAACTTGAGGTTCTCTGTAATATTTCACAAAAGTTCCTATCACCTCATTTTCCATCTCATATTATCCAATCTCTTCAAAATATCCCTGATATCTACTTAACATTTTTGTGTAATTTCATAATTTGTTTTCTGCAGAGTTTGAAATAAATTAAAATTTAATATATGTTTTAACAGCATTAGTTTGGGATGTCATCAAAGTCAGTAGTTATCTATAGTTATATTTAATAAAACAATGCAAATAAAATTTTCTGAGCCTGGTGTGGCAACTCACAATAATAACAGGCACTTAGAATGCTGAGATTGGAATAACTGTGGTTCAAGGTGGTACAGAAAATGCCCTGAGGCCTACCTCAGACAAATTAAAGCTTGTGTGTGTATATGTGTGTGTGACAGAGAGAGAGAGAGACAGAGAGAGACAGAGACAGAGAGACAAAAGAGACAGAGAGAGATAGAGTGTGTGTATTTGGATATATGTATATATACATATATACACATTTATACTGCAGTAGAGCTGTGACAATGTCAAATAGGGCAAGTGTGTGTGTATGTGTCTGTGCATGTACATTAGTCAAAAAGTCATGAAGTGTTATGATTTGAATCTAAAAATGTATATGGTTTTATGTATCAAAGACTTGATAGCGCTAGTAGCTTTCAAGAAATAACTAGAAGAACATGAGGCTCCTAACTTTATTCATGGATTCATCCATTGAAAAACATCTAACCATAAAGATGTTAGACCTTCTTGAAAGAAGCCAATCACTGGAATGGGTCTCGTTTTGGTTCCTTCCTGATGCTTTCCTTAAAGCCATGCGGTGAATAGTTCTGTTCTTTGTTTTCTGCTATGATGTTCATTCTTAACTCCATCCCACATAATCAAATGACAAGGAAAAAACTAAAATTCAGTTCATACTAGTGGTGAAAAGAAGAGCCTGACATGGTATTTTTTACTAATCATTATACTAAATGAGCTTCAAAGCTGGTTTAGTTCATGATATTGGCATTGTTTTCTGGTTCATCCTTGTGCTGAATGATGGTAGGAAAATTACAATTAAAAACTAGCAATATTATCTTCAGTGACACCAGGCATTGATGTATGCCTATAAATCTCATGTATTCTGGAGACAGAGATCTGGTGGAATACAATTTGAGAATGGCCTAGCTAAAATATTAGCAAAGCCCCATCTCAAGAAATAAACTAGATATGTGGACTTACATTCCTGGTTATGTAGAAGATATATTCAGGAAGATAGCAGTCTAAAGCCAACCCTAAGTCAAAAACTCAAAATCTTACCTGAAAAAAATATAAAGTAAAAATGTTCAAGAGGATTATCTCAAGTAGAAGAGCTCCTTCTTAGCAAATTGCAAGTAAAAGACCCTGAATTTCAATATGAATACCACCAAAACCAACCAAACAACAACAAAAATTCCTAGATACAAAATGTGTGGTAATCCTGCCCTATATAACACCTTCTACAACAATCCTATGAAAACACAAGCAAGCACAGGAAAACAGCAAACAGAGCAAACTTCAACATCAAATTATTTTGCATTTGTAATTTTGCATTTCCAACATATTATTACTCCTTATTCTTAAGTGAGAATTCACTTTTGAACTCAATTTTGGTTCTCACACCAAAGAAAGATGACTCGTCCCTCACATTTCCTCAACTGACTTTATTCCAGGTTGTTAGTTATTCCA